TCTCGTGTTATTGCTGAAACAGTTCACAGAAGCAGGATCTGATCTACACTTCCTTGAAATAACGTTGGTTTCTGATGGATCTGAACTATACAGTGTAATGGCACACATAAAGAAAAACATGTTTTTTGTCTATAGGCAGAACTCTGGGAAACAACATCAAAGCCATTAGTCCTTATAGTAATGGTGAACATGTGATTGTTTTGTTTGTTTGTTTAATTTCAAGACTTTTTCAGAGGGTCCAAATCTATTCTTAATCCTCACTGAGACCAGCCCAGACTGTCAAAGCTTTTTTGTGCAGAGAAATACTATGCACTTGCTCAAGGAGCCAGAAGTTATAAGCACATGGCTTATAACAAAATGCATGATTTGGTGTGGGGCACTGAACAGTGGCTTTTCATATCCAAGTCAACTTCCCTGAGCATGGACATATTTTACTGTGTTTTTGCAAATGCCTCTATGTCACTTCTGGCCAACTCTGTATCAATAATTAAATATAACTGCTACAGTGACTGATGCATTGTTCTCTACCTTCTAGATGAATGCCCTGACTACAGTCTCCCTTGCTTTATTTGGCTTGGCCACTATTTAATTTTTTATGCAAAATGAAATGTCTTTGGAAGCCTAACAGAATTTAAAATTTTTAAAAGACTTAAAAATATTTAAGAGCTGCTGGTCAGCACCTTCCCTTGGGCTGTGCACAGTTAAAACCCCTCTTCCCAGCAGCACTAGTCTTATTATGAGAGGTGGAACATCTCCAACAAGTGATTCTGTAATCTCTGTAGAAACTCTGTGTTCATACTTTAATCTGAAAACTTCTTGTGTATGTTGTTCAGTTCCAGATGATATTTAAATTCTGGGAAAATTTGTAATCTCATGCACAAGTGTCCCCTTCATTCCATTTTTGTTACCAAGAAGCTGTACTCTCTGCACTCTGACCTTAGTTTTAATATGGAGAAAGCATTTTCAAATCTCTGTTTTGAACAAAGTAAACATGAGCAAGAACTTTGCTGGATCACTGGGCTGAGGATAATGGAATGATGTTCAACAAGATAAAGTGCCAGGTCCTGCACTTTGGCCACTCCAGGTAACGCTACAGGCATGGAGCAGAGTGGTTGGAAGACTGTATGGAAGAAATGGACCTGGGGGTATTGGTTGGCGCTCAGCTGAATATGAGCTAATAGTGTGCCCAGGTGGCCAAAAAGACCAACAGCAGCCTGGTTTGTATCAGAAACAGTGTAACCTGAAGGAGCAGAGAAGTGATCATCTCCCTGTACTCAGCTCTGGTGAGGCTACACCTTCAGTACTGTGTTCAGCTTTGGGCCCTTCACTACAAGAAGGATAGCAAGGCCCTGGAACACATCCAGAGAAAGGCAACAAAACTGGTGAGGGGTCTTGAGCACAGTTCTTGTGAGCAGCTGAGGGAACTGGGATTGTTTAGTCTGGAGAAGAGGAGGCTCAGGGGAGACTTTAGAGCATTCTACAACTGCCAGAAGGGAGGTTGTGGTGAGGTGGAGGTCAGCCTATTTTCCTGCATGACTAGTGATAGGACTAGAAGAACATGGCTGCTAGTTGTACCAGAGGAGATTCAGGTTGGATGTGAGGAAATACTTCTCTGAGACAGTGATCAGGCTCTGGAACAGGCTGCCCTGGGAGGTGGTTGAGTCACCATCCCTGGAAGTGTACAAGAAGACTTACAACTGGCTGTCTCACCACCTATCTTTTAAGCTTTGTGAGGATGAGGAGTTCATTTTTTGGTCATAATTGCAGTCCTTATCAAGTTTTCAGTGTCTCTCCATTACAATAGTGGTTTTTAACCTGAGGATAAGCATATTCTGAACAGTAACTGAAAAAGCAAACCCATCACTACATAGCAATCCATGTTTTTACTAAAAAATGTGTAGATGTCTGCAAACCAAGGGTTCAAAACTAGTTCGTACAAATGTTTAGGAATGTTAAGTACACCTCATCCTTCAATGCAAATATGTTTTATTAAAAAGATACTCACCTTAAATACATGCAATCAAAAAACTTTTAAATTGCATTAAAAAATAGACAAATGACCAAAGTAAAAATAAATATATAAAAATTAAAAAGTCAAAGTCTGAAGAGTTTGAAATCCAAATGGTTATCATTTTTGGACTTCCTTGCTGGATGCTGAAAGGAGGAGTCCTGTGCAGAAAGGCTGCCAGGATATTACCATTGGGAAATTAACAGTAGAGTTTTAGAACCTTTAATAGGAGCACTGTAGTGCAGACTTTAAGTCAAATTTTGCCTCTTAGTAATGCAACTTCATTGACTTACAAGGGAGAGACAGATTTCAAAAATGTACTTATGGATCATTGTCTATTAAATTATATAGAGCTATGAGAATAAATTCTAAAAGCCTTTGTTTGATTCTTGCATTTTTAAACCAGCTTAAATTTGTATTTCCATACAGGAAGAAAGTTTAAGAACTACACTTAGTGTTGAAAATAATCTTCACTGTGTGTTATGGTAAATACTGCCTTTCTACTTCTGTGCTTCTTTTGGACGATATTTAAATTCTTAAGAGCCTGACATTCATCGGTTCTTTATATGCAAATGTCTTCACCTTCCCATCTTGCATAAAGCGGTTGTGGTTTCTACTCTGTCAATGTAACCTTAGTGCTAATTTGGGAAAAGTAGTTCTCACATTTAGTGCTGAAAGACTGATAACTGAATCCACAAAGGAATGACACATTTTCAGCAATGAAGTACAGGAGCTGTGGACAGTGGCTGTGCTTTCCCAACATATAAATGCTCCTGACTCAGCTGTCACTGTGCAAATCTAGAGCACAAAAGCAGATTTTGCTTGCAGGACTGTATTCTATGTCATCACAACTATCACAGTGAAAATGAACAATGCATTATATTGAATATATTTTTACTCTGACAGTTTCTGAGACAGATGGATATATCTGTAACATTGTACTGTAATGTTTTCTGAAGTACAGCTATCTTCTCTATTACTGTAAAAAAAATATACTAATAAACAATATTGCTGGTTTACTGGGCAAGTATCAACTGACCTGACAGTTGTATGGCTGTTATGACTACACTAAATTTAACAGGACAAAAGTCAAATTCATTCAACTCATCGTGATAAAAACACACCTATGTACACACGCATACACATATGTGGTTATCTGATAATGCATGCAGTGTATATATGAGGGCTGCTCTGAAAGTAATGCCTTCTATTTTGTTACGTTGGTCCACGACATGAGAGGCGAATGTTGGTGGAATGTCAGTAAAGGCTGAATCTTCCCACCAATATTCCATTACATTTTGTTGCCATGCAACAGATGACAGGATAGAGGCAGTCTACCAAAGTGATGTCTGACATAGAAGTGCATGTGAAGCAAACGTGTGCCACTGAATTCCTTCATTTCCTACAGAAAATAATTGCACTTATTGACATTCATCAATGCTTGCTAAATGTTTATGGAAACTAAACTATAGGTATGAGCACAGTGAGGCAGTTTTATGTGGCAAAAAGTCTTTTGTTCAAGGCTGACGAAAATGCATAGCTAAAGGTGATGACTATGTTGAAAAATAGTATTTTGTAGCTGAAAATTTTCTCTATCAAGTAGCATTATTGTTCTTTTTGCATCTGTTGTTTCCACAGAAATAAAAAGGAGGCATTACTTTCAGAGCAGCCTACATATCTTAAATAGTTTTGTTCATCCAACCTCCAAAAGAACTTTATAATTTTAACCATGATATTTAAATTGTTTATGTTATTAATTGTACATAAATGTAATATAATAAATGACAGAGGACTTCCTTACTTTAAATGAAAAGAAACCGTTGTTAAAAGACTGGCTGCTGTTACATACTAAAATTTTGCATGATCACTTTGCACTGAATTGCAGAATCATGTAAGAAAACCCAGACCTTAGCACAGACATAAATAATATGGTTAGAGGTGAAAACTATCTAAACACAATTTTTTCACGGGAGTGCAGGTCTGGCAGATGCAAGTAGCATGTACAGAAAAAGTAGCTAATCAAGTTTTCAATATTAAAATATAAATTAACACAGATTAACTACAGCTAGATTACTTGCCCACTTAAATGAAATGGCAGCTTTTTTAAATGATGAATATTCATTTCCAAAATTCTCATAATTCTGGTGTAAATCCATTTTAGTTAGTGAAAGTTTCATAGAATCATAGAATCCAATCAAAGATTGGAAAGGATTTACAAGATCATCTAGTCCAACCGTCCTCCCATTACCATTGCTACCACAAGCTACTAAACCATAACTCGTAGCTCCTCAGACTTCATTAAAATTGGATAGAGAACCCAAACACATTTTAAAGTATTTTGGTACATGAAGTCAAAACAAGATTTTCACTGAAGCTATCCCTCTCCTCTCGCCCTATACAGATGAACAAGCAGCCACAGGCTTGCTTAGTAATATCCATATTATATATATTTTTTCTTTTTTGGGCTGCTGAATATTTTGAAATGCGATAACTTGGAATAGCCAAGATTCCTTTCATTTTTTCCAACCCACTGACAACTCTGGACTGCTCAGAAAAGTCAGTGGATTCACTTTCTGTTGGACTTGGTGGCCAGTGTCAGATTCCTTTCAATCCAGTAAAAATTTAAAGCTTGTACAGAACATAGTCCTGCCCAAGGCTCTGTAGCTACTTTGTGTTGACGTGTGGCTGATGCCTCCACAGGCCTTGAGCTTCTGTCCAACTTACACCCTACAGCAATCAGCTCCTGTGGCTTAATTGTGTTAACTTAGTTTCTGTATATGTTTTAAATTTAATCACACTCCACAAATCTCAATGTAATTAAAACAAAAATTCTTCTTTATAAATCACTTTTGATTAGTTTAACTAGTTTAAGAGAAAATTCTGCTCCAAATAAAGGAGGAGTGTATATGGCACAGATGTTGTTGGAACAAAGCCGTGTGCTAGTCTTTAATAGCTAGATGAATGTAACTGGATAAATGTACATTTTACATACCATTTAGCCACCGGGAGTCATGCTGCTCTGTTCTGATTGGATGGTGATGCCCCAGAGTTCGGAAAATGGCAAAGTCTCTGCCCATGAAGTCTGCTGCTGTGCCAGAGTACAATTCTCCATCTGTGGGAGGATGTAACTGTAAGAAACATTTCTCAAATTTCCAGTCATGGTAAGTAAGAGAAAGTTGTCAGTCCTTTGTTTATATTATACTAATGGGGGTAATGAGAAAATTACAAAGCAATAAACCATATGCAATTTATTGTCATTGAAAATATATGATTAGACCCACTTTTTCACTGCAGAACTTAACTGTAACCTCTCAAATGAGCTGAACCCACCAATTGCAGACACTTTACCAAGATATGTTTGTATACTTAGGCTGGAATAGAGAGAGACTGTACATCTATACCTTGAAGACAGCAACACACAAAAACAAAATACTCCTCAAAATCTATTCAGCTATAAAGTTACTCTATTTTGAACTTTTGAACAGAAGTTTTGACTGGAGACCTCCAGAATTTTTTTACCCACACTGCAGGGGTTTTGTTATTCTGTGTTTAGAAGTGGAGAGAGGCTCGTTGACTTGCTGTTCAGAAAGTCATCATACCTCTTTGCTTTTTCATGCAGAAACATCTTTTTTTTTTTTTTTTTTTTAACAGCAAATCCTCTTAAAAAAGGGATTTTCTTCAGAGAAGACAGAACATGGTTTTCAGCTTCTGCTACTTTTATAACTGAGACTGGCAAAGTGCAGCAGCTAAGGGAGAGAGCAAATGAGATCGTCTGCTACTACCTCAACCCCAAGCACACCACAGTGAACAAGAGGATTAGAAATTGACCTGTGATACTTCAGCCCCTAAATGGCACATACATAGCCCAGCTGGAGAGGAAACTCATAATATTAGAGTCTCCATGTTCGTCTCTTGAAGTAGCTAGAATTCTGGAGGAGACAAACATAGTCTAAACGCAATGGACCAGATCAAATTAAATACATGCCAACTGGTAGAGAAAATAAAAATAATAAATACATAATAACTAGACTTACAGAAGATATCCAGGCATTAAAAAATAATAATAATAAAAATAAAAAATCAAGTATTTATCATGTATTTTTCCAGTATTAATATTAGAGCTTGCATATGAAATTGGTAGAAATGCTTTTTCAGGACTCTGCCCTTTTATGCCTAAATAGGAAATGAGATACTCTCTTCTATACTTCTAATATGGAGTTAAAGATTATTATTGCTTCTAACTGCTATTTTCAGGTCACTCATTTTAAATGAGTTTCCTGTGAGAAAGAGAAGCTTAAGGATGAAATAACCATTTCTTTAAGTTAAAGTAATACATTTCTCATGGTCATGATGAACTCTATCTTTATTTTAACACACAATTTAAGAATGAGTTTATCATTTTTAATGGCAATTTTAGATATTTGCATGATAGGACAACCATGTCCAAGCATGCCTATTGGATATCAGTGGCATCTTTTCCCCAGAACACTGATACCATGAAATTATCAGTTGAACCTACTGAGGCTCTGTACCATATGGTAGCCATGAAAGTCAGGAAGGCTGAAAATATGATAGCAGAAAGGCATGGAATTGAATGAATTCACAGCAGAGATTAAAATAGATCAGTCGTGCCCAGCAGGAGGTGTAATCAGAATTGAAACAGAACAGCATATCCTTAATTAACAATTTATCATTCTTCTATGTCATTTTCAAGTTTTTAAAGGACAGGCAATCACTTAATTATAGTGATTATTATGTACAGGGTATGCAGCTAAGTATTTAAAGAAAGTAAAACCTTTTTGCTTGAGAAAATAGCTTTGATGCTATGCTTAACCTTTCTTTAACCTTATCTTCAACCTTATCTTCATTTGCTTCTCTTCCACTCCCAAGTGAGTTAGGATAAATCAATATACATCAAAGGGGAAGAAAAAAAAAAGTAACAAGCCCTATTTTACTTACTATTTATAAGGAAATAGGTCAATTAAAACAACAACAAGATTCAATATTTTATACCTATACATCCTTTGAGTTAGAACAGTTGATAAACTACTTAAGATTTAATGTGAGTGGGCTAGAGCACAAGTCTTATGAGGAATGGCTGAGGGAGCTGGGACTGTTTAGTCTGGAGGAGGCTCAGGGGAGACCTCACTGCACTTTACAACTTCCTGAAGGGAGGTTGTGATGAGGAGGGGGTTGGCCTCTTCTCCCAGACAACAAATAGGACCTGAGAGAATGGCCACAAGTTATGCCAGGGGAGATTTAGATTAGACATAAGGAAAAGCTTTTTCTCTCAAAGAGTGGTCAGGGATTGTAATAGGCTGCCCAGAGAGGTGGTGGAGTCACCATCCCTGGTGGTGTTTAAGAGGTGCAACAAGATATGATTTAGTAGCTTAGTGCGTAGTTATGATGATAGGAGAATGGTTGGATTAGATGATCTTATAGGTCCTTTCCAACCTTGTGATTCTATGATTCTACAATTTTTACCTTCTCTTATAGTTAAAAGAAGGCTAATCTTTGCTTCCATATGCAGACCATCTTTTCAGCTGATATTTGCTCATTGATATGCTAGGAATTTATTCTTCTATGTCACTGATAGTTTTGCTGTGCTATTTCCATTGGTAGTAGTTTTCAAAGCAGTCTTCATTGGCTTTAAGAAGGAAACGGAACTAAATAGAAAACTGACAAACATCTCCCAGGCAGAGAGAATGAAACAAAAAAAAAAAAAGTTGCCACTTTGTATCTCCAGTCCAACAGCATAAAACAAGGACTATGGCTTCCTGTACAGAGCAAACTGATGGCCCTCAGTTGTTTGCATAGAAAGAAAACACTATATATTGGATACAAATTGTTGCATGCTAAAGAAGCAGCATTTTAACATATGCATGCAAATATACCTATTAAGTTTACTGGTTATTAATTTAAGGGAGAAGAACAATTTTTCCCACATATTGAACAGAAGAGTCATAGAAGTGGAGGGCTCTTCTCCCAGCATCTCTCCAAGTTCATCACCAAGTTAATATGCTAAAAGCTAAACAGTATGCATTTATTTGCCAATTTTTTTTTTTCCATTAAGCTCTTAAAGAAGACTGCATTCTTAAAATGCAGCACAAGAGAGACACGGAGGTGTTGGAGTTGGTTCAGAGAAGAGTCAGAAAGATCACCAGAAGGCCGGAGCACCTCTCCTATGAAGAAAATTTGAGGGATCTGGGCTTGTTTAGTTTGGAGAACAGAAGGTTCTGGGGCAATCACCTTGTGGCCTTCCAGTATCTAAATGGAGCTTACAAACAGGAGGGAGACGGACTTTTTATATGATTTGAGAGTGATAGAACAAGGGGAAATTGTTTTAAACTAAAAGAGGAGAAATTTAAATTAGATATTAGGAGGAATTTACTCCTCATTTATTACTCAGATAATGTTGAGGCAATGAAATAAGTTGCACAGAGAAGCTGTGGATGCCCCATCCCAAGGTCAGATTGGATGGGGTACTGGGGAGCCTGATCTAGTAGATGGCAACCCTGCCTGCAGTAGGGTGGTAGGAACGGGATGATCTTTGAGGTCTCTACCAGCTTAAGCCATTCTATGATTCTCTGTCTCTGTAGTCTTTTTTTATTGTATGTTTATTCATATAACTGAAGTTAAGATTTTCAGAAGCACATAGTAGTGCCTTGAAGTCACTCCTGTTAAAGACAAAATCCCAAACACCCCTGAAACTAAAATAAACTCTAAAATCCTGAAACTCAGATGTACTTAATAGCTAATTTGTAATACAGTGATAGCAAATTCTTGCTTCGTAAGAGTCTAATGAATTTTCAGATCACATTAATTCATATTTGAAAATACAAAGGCATCTAAAACAATGTGAAGATAGATAGATTGATAGATAGATACATAGATACATCGAGATATTCTTTTTTTTCTTTTAAACCAGTGAGACACAGAACCATAAATAGCCTTGAGGGTTCTGGATAATCAGAGCTTTTGAAAATCCCAAAGGAACATTTGCTAAACAGCAGCTGACCAATAATGGAACAATGGCTGTCTCCTTCCCTGAGTTATTTTCAACTGTCCCAATACTATTGCTTTAGACTAACACATTCAGTAATAATTTTCTCCTGTGATTTATTTATTTATTTATTTATTTATTTTCAAATACCATGCTCCTCTCATTTTGCTCCTGCCCTGGAATACACACTTGCAGTGTATTGCCCAGAGACTGCTTAGTCTCTACATATTCATGCATTAGCCCACTCAAATGGGGATTGTTTCATTACCAGTATACAGATGGGAATGGCTGAATAATGTCTGATATTACTAGGAATTAGTTGTATCATATTCCCAGCTGGTGTTTACTTAAGAGTAGAGTAACAATAACTACTTTTAATGAACAACTCTTAAAAAAATAATGAAAAAATGTTTGCAGGTGGATGAGGAAAAGAAAGAATATTAGAAAAATACTGGAACAGTTTGAATAAGGTGAACTTCTGTTGTTGTTTTTTTTAATTTTTTGTTTTTTGTTTTTTGTTTGTTTTGCAAATACTGAATTTTATTAGGAGAGAAGAAACAATGAAGATCCTTTAACAGTAATAAGAGTTTCAGCTGAAATGTAAAATAAGAACCTTGAGTACTAAGGGCTATTAAAAATCCTAAATTACTTTTTGCAAACTAACCTTGGTGTTTTGACCAAATTCCAGCCTAGGTAATTACATATCACTTACCTAAGATTTACCTTCTAGTTAGAGAGTCAAGAATGTACTCTTTTTTTTTCCCACTTAGTAAAAAGCTCTCTTTAGTGTTTTTGATGAAGAACAGAAGTTATTTTTTTCCTCCCACATTTAACCATACAAATTACTTACTCTTCTCAGCCTTCTTTCTTTTTTGCTATAGCTACAGTTTGTTACTAATTATAATATTGCATTTTAATGAGTGCTGAATAATTTTTTTACATTTGCTCTCTTGAACCTAAGATAACCCTTAGTTGCTTGTGAATACTGATAACAGCAGACAAGGGCCAGGAGCTATCTCTCAGCTCAGAAGGGAAGAAGGCATCTATCCATATTCTTTTTGGTGTGAGGTATTTGTTATAAAGAGGTTTTTCTGGCCTTCATAGTCCCATTCACTGCTTCAAAGAACAGTTGCACCACATCCCTTCATACAGGCAATGCTCTCACCTCCAGAGTACTGAAAGGCTGGCTTCTCACCTCCTAACTTGAGGACACAAAATTACCTATGGTTATAATTTTGACATAAATTTTATGCATTTTGGCAAAGATGAGATTAAGTCATCGTGAACCAGAGTGAATCTGCTGTACAGTTTCTTAAATATCAGTGGAACTTCTTCACTAAAATATTTAAACAACTGCAACATTATAATCAATGACACAATATAACTGTGAGGTAGCTATGAGCAGAAAGACTGTTCACATTCAGGATGCAGGAATGTTAATTTTAGCTTCAACATGAATCTTGTAAGTCACTGGAGCTCAATTAGTCACTGGCATTGAATGTTGAATTTGTGCCATTTTCTACAGTGTTAATACAACCATGACTCTAATGGAAGTCTGATTTAAAACAAAATATGATGCTCAGTATACTGTTTATTAGTAGGAATAGTACATGGAGTGAAAATTATTGAGATAGGGAGTGGACTCAAGAAAACAAAGATGCTTTAAAGACTTGAAATCTAAGCCAAGGGAAATAAGACAATCATATTTGTGCATAACTGAGTAGAAAAAAAAGGAATGTGAAAAGTTAGACACTGTTGACTTTGTGCAGTTGCATACCGGGTATACCGTGTAATACTGGCTTGTCATCATTCTCTTTCTTTATTGTACATTAAAGTAAATAGTAAAGCCAATCCCTTGAGAGTAGCTTTGACACAAATTCAAGTTGCTCCAGGCGCTAATTTATACACTGGACTTTTACACATACTGTTTTTTTCTTTCTTTCTTTCTGTTTGTTTAGGATACAAGTTGGGGCAAGATGTGGAAGCCTTTCTTGTTTTTCCTTTCAAAAAGTGCATGTCCCCAGGGTAGCTCATCACCTGTGAACATTAGGAACTTCGAAGATCAGGAAATGAGGTACGCTGAAGATTAAATTTTTGTTATTGCCTCTTTTGAATAGTTTCACTTTTAAATACAATGCAAATAAAATTTGTAGTCACTAAGCAATACTAGACATATGTAGTCCCAGGGAACACAGTGTATCTCGTTATGTGTCATTTTCCAAAGGCTTCTGTGATAAGAAAATCTGCAGGCTTCTGAGACTACTGCTGTCCCCTTGTATTTGAAGTTGTGATTAAGTGCCAGAAAGTTACACGTTAAGAATAAAGTGGCTACTCTTAGGCAGAGATCTTACAGAAATAAGAATCAAATTTGTTTTGCTTTCAATTTCTTCTTCTCTTAATTTCATCTCACAAAGCATTTTTTGTGAAGGAAGAAGGAAAAACAACAAACACAATTCAATTACATAAATTAAATCAATTATATAAATTAAATCGATTAGATTAGTTCAATTAGATTAACATATGCCAGGTGCTCCATACATACATATTCTATGAAACTAAGTATTACTAACTCAAATATACTTAATTTATTGAAATCTCGCTATTCTGGATAAGACTTTAATTGCATTCACAGTCAGATACATCTCTTCAACTGAAACATCATTTTAAGGCCTGGACCTGTGAATGTTTGTATATCTTCAGCTCAGATGTGAGTACAACCTGGTGATGGACTTTACTTGACTACAGTACTGATACAAAGAATTGCTTATTCCTGTTCTCACTTTGCTCCCAGATGTGCTGGTGCAACCACCTGTGAGGACACACTGTAAAGTGGGCAGTTAAAATACCTCCAGAGTCACCTAGTTCTGAGTCTGAAGAAACAAGATGTCACATAGGGGTAAAGCAGTTAGTGTGATACTGGAATCTTGTCTTACACAAACTCTGCTGTCATGACGGCTGGGCCAACCGTATTGAAAAATGAAACTGGAATGACTAATGACTACTTCAGCTTAGACAGAAAACACATAAAACAAAGTTGTACCATAGGTGCTGTGAAGAGCAAAAATAAATAAATAAACAAATAAAAATGGCAGGGAACTGGCAGTGAATGAACATCTCATTGAACTTATGTTCTGGCACCTACCTACTAAAAGAGAAGCTGTCAGCAATTTAGGATCATAAGGGCTTTTCCCTCGGCCGTTTTCAAAATGTGAATCTTCCATCCTAAAAATGTTGTCCTGTGGAGTGGAAAAAAGAAAGAAAAAAATCATTTTATTTGATGAAATGACGCTAAAAATAGGTTGAATTAAATAGAGTACAGCATATGTAATTCATACTGTTTGGTGGGTTTTTTTTTGGCTCAAGAGAAGTGAAATTACACTAGGAGAATATCTGGAAAAAGTCCCCATTTCTAATCAATATTGTGCTGATGGTACTCAAAAGCACAAATAAACACAGCTTGTGCCTCATCTAGTCTACTTCACATACACTTTATCTGCTTTCATTGAACTGTCTGTGCTTTCACAAAGAATATGGCTGTGTAATTTTAACTGAAGAAGCTGGAATTTCAATGTTTTGTCTGAAAAAATGAAAGCGTAGATTAATGCATTACAGGATGTTAAACCTGAACTTGAGTTCTTAGTGACCTACTGGTTTTGCATGATCAAATACAATTTTAACTTCATCAGCAAAGCTGTTTTTCAGTAATGTGCAACGCAACTTTTACAAAATGGCAGTTGGGGGAACAGTGCATGGGGTTATAAAACAAGATTAAAAAGGGCCTCAGTCAACACTAACTCAAATCAAGATCAGTAAATCCAAAGCAATTGGCTTTTCAGTACATTTAATGATTTTAATTTTAACTGGGGGACCAAATCTGCCAATCAAACATAATAGTTTGTTTACTTTATGTTTTACACTAAGGGTAAAACCAGAATAATAAATGCTTTTTGCATAGTAGACATTATGTTGATAGAAGAATTGCATAGGGCACAGTAAAAGCTAAAATTTCCATTTTCCCATCTGCACTGTGGTTAATTGCCATTGACATCTAACTAAATCATGGAACTCCAAAGCCAGGACACACTCGGGCAATAATTCTGGGAATTATTCTATGCACCCAGTTCTCAGTCGCTAATACCTAAAAATTCTTTGAGGTAGACAATGAAGGTAGTCCTTTAATAAATATAAATTAAATACAAATTTCTTGCTGTCTGATCAGAGATAATTATCTGTTTTAAGAAAAGAAACAAAAATAAGTAGAGCGGAATATGACTAAAATATATGTATTCATAGAATAAATCAACTGAGAAAATATTACAATGTATAGAAATATGTAGCTTCCATTTGAGAGAAGACTACTGCCAGCACAGACTATACTCAGCTTTAGTTTTATCGAAACAAGTCCTGAAGACCTTCCATTGCACCCTTAATGAAAGCTTTTTTTTTTTCCCTCTCTTAAAAACAACAGCAACAACAAAAACTTTCTGAAATTTAATCCTAGAACAATCTTGTAGATGTAGCCTGCTTGATTATATCTATACAGTCAACCTGTATCCGTAATATCTTGCACAATATTAAATTTATTACTTTCCTTTTGTCCTTTCTACTTTTTAATAGTCCAGACACATTCCTCACTTCTATGCAATTTTCTGACTTTACTCCTGAACAGAAATGATTTAATAATGAAAAAGATTTTTTTTTTTTTAAATGCTGCATGTACATATATAGAACTTGCACAATAAATAAAAGCAGTAAATTCAGGAGAATGCTCTACTTCAACTACAGTAATATAAAAAGGCACTAATGCTACAAGCCATTATTGAAAAATGTTATTAACAATCTACATTTACTTGGGATTTCTTCTTAGTAGATGATAATTGCTCAACATGCACACCAATGGATATTTGATAAGGCTATAAAGTCAGTGGCAGGACAGTTAGAGCAGAAGATATTCCCAAGATTATTCCATTTGTCATTACGAGACAAATAGGAAACAGATGTGGAAAGTGATTTGATATAGGAAGGATCTGATTTTTGACTATATTCCTCTGGTTTATGTCACTGTAACTTCACTGATATTGGTATGTAGTGAGCAAAAAAGAGTGGAAACTGGGTCAGCCTAAGTCAAAAATGATCTACCCTTTTCTTTGTGATTATAGAATAAACCATTTAAAATAGGAGGTATGACAGGGAAATCCCACAGTGTTTTCATATTTCAGTTAAAATGCAATGTAGGCACACATTATATATAATAAGTTTCCAAATGTATCAGTGGCTAATAACTATAAATATATCACTGTTAAGTGTCAAATGAATGTATCTTGGATAGCCTGAAGCCCCAGAGAGTTTTGATAAACATACTATGGGAAGTCTAACCTATCACAAATAGGGCAATATGCCCAAATACCTTTTAGAGTATTGAAGTCAAACCATCTCTGTCTGTACACCAAAAATACAGTCAACAGAGAAATAAAACCTTTCCTATGTACTTATCCCTGTCCCATCTCCCCCTGACCTCAAGTGGAAGCCTAGAAAGCTTAGATTGTAAGTGATACCATAGAATCATAAAATGTTTTGCGTTGGAAGGGACTCTTAAATAAGGCCTTACTTATTATAAGGCCCTTTCTAGTCCAACAGTCCTTCAATGAACAGGGACATTCACAGCTATATCAGGTTGTTCAGAGCTCCATTCAGCCTAACTTTGCATGTTTCGAGGGTGAGACATGAGACCCATCTCTGGGCAATCTATTCCAGTGCTTCACTTTTACTTACATAAAAAGCTTTTTCCTTATACCCAGTGTAAATCTCCTCTCTTTAAATTTGAAACCATTTTCCCTTGTCCTGTCACAACAGACTCTGGTAAAGGGTCTGTCTGCTTCTTTCCTGTAGTCCCTCTTTAGATACTGAAAGACCACCCTCTGGTCTTCTCAGAGCTTTACTTTCTCCAAGCTGAATAGTCCCAACTCTCTCAGCCTGTCCTCATCTCACTGATACATTTCTGTAGCTGGCTTCTTGAAATATGTGCTTTCCTGTAGCGCACAGTTTGATAGATGTCAAGACTTGGACAGAAAGAAATATATTTCATTCAGACCTTGAAATAAATGTAAAAGTTCTGATGATTGCCATTCTTTTACTCCACTATTTTGCAGGCTATTGTGATTCACTTTCGAACATCTGAAACATGTCTGGAATAAATTTCCTATATCATGATAATGAGTGGTGACAAGACATTGCTACTTGACAAGACTTATTTCATAACTAGCAATAGAATTCAGCCAGCCAGTACCATACCAACCTAAAGTTATATATATATACATAATGCTTTCTCTCTATATATAATGCTTTAAATATATATATATATAAAACATTACACACACACGCACACACAGAATCACAGAATCGCCAGAGTTGGAAGAGACCTCAAGGATCATGAATCTCCAACCCCCCTGCCACATGCAGGGCCACCAACCTTCTCATTTAATGCTAGACACACACAAGGGCTGGTCCAAAACTAATGCCTCCTATTTAGTTATGGCCCATGACATCAGAGGCGGATGTTGGTGGTATGACACAAGAGGTCGAAGCTTCCCAACAATATTTTGCTATGTTTTGTCACCATGTGACAGATGACAGCAAAAGGGAAGTCTGACAAAATGGCGTTTGACATGGAAGTATTTATGAAGCAAAAGTGTGTCACTGAGATTCTCCATGTGGAAAAAATTACACCCATTGGCATTCACTGATGCTTGCTATGAGTGTATGGACACCAAACAGTGGATGTGGCACAGTGAGGTGGTGGTGGTATGTTTCAGCGGTGGTGACAGCTACAGCAAATCATCTCCATTGGTGCAGATTTTTATGATTGCAGCGTACAGGCTCTTGTTCATAGCTGATGAAAATGCATAGGTAATGGTGGTGACCATGATGAAAATCAGTATTTTGTAGCTGGAATTTACTCTATGAAATAGTGTTATTGTGCTCTTTGTATCTGTTAAGGGTTGTAGTTTTCATGGAAATAAGAAGGAGGCATAACTTTTGTTGCAACCATATATACGTACACATAAATGAAAATCCACATATATATCCACATATACATAACTCTGTATGTATACACAGTATTAAAACTTTTAATGTCTTTTCTTTGCATCTATTTCAGCTGCCACCCAGTCCAGAACTCTCTCAATAAAGCAAGGAGAAGAAAGATAACAGCACACACTAACTGCTTTTTGTTATTATATTTTAAATATTCTTTCCTAGTTTTGTACTGTTTATGACTTGTAAGAAAACTGGTGATTATTAGAGAAAAGACAATTTTTCTTCTTGTGCAATTCACACAGAAACTGTTGCAGAAGTGCAGAATTTAATACAACAAAACCACTGCTGGCCAATGATGAATTAATGCAGAACAAGTAGATGATCTGAAGAAGCTATGTTGATGGAATGCATACAGTCAGAAAAGAGGTATTGCAGGCTTAGCTTATAAGGTATGGAAGATATAAAAGGATTTGACTGCAGTGATGCTCCTCAGCTGTGTTAGTGCAATTGAAGGAACTCATATCCTTACTCTTGTAACCCTTAAACCATAAATACCAAGGAGCATATCTCCAAGGCACCTACAAAGGCTAGTTGATCATCATGACAAGCTGATAAACAATCATGGGATGGTCCAGAAACATTCAAGTTGCCAGGAGACTTCGGAAATAACACCTCTTTTGTTTAACTAGAAAAGGTAGTTTTGGACACACCTGTGAGCACTACTGAGGTTAATATTTCCCTGGCTATTCTCACAGATTCTGTTGTACTAATATGAAGACTTTTATATAAGAAACAGATTGTGGAAAGAAAGAGAGAAAGAGAGAAAGAGAGGAAGGAAAGAAGGGAAGGGAAGGGAAGGGAAGGGAAGGGAAGGGAAGGGAAGGGAAGGGAAGGGAAGGGAAGGGAAGGGAAGGGAAGGGAAGGGAAGGGAAGGGAAGGGAAGGGAAGGGAAGGGAAGGGAAGGGAAGGGAAGGGAAGGGAAGGGAAGAACAAAATTGAAAAAACAAAATAACCTGCCTGGAGTATGACAATACATGGAGAAGGACTTTTGAAGGACTTAAAGGCAGACGGTAATGTCTCTTAGCTGAGACAGAAGTTGCTGGCAGTTAAATCTGTTCTCAGCACCAGTGAGAACAAAGGGAAAAGCCTCACTTCCTGCTCAGAGAAAAAAAGACTATAGAAAAGGTTTGGATTTATCTCT